CTTCCATCGTTTCAGTATCAAATGCCGCAATTAGGTACTGTGTCAATTGACTATTATCTGAATTCATCGATGTGAAAATGCGAGAGAAACGGTCTTCACAAGTTGTTGTCCCGGTATTGTCGTTAAATGGATCGTCATACCGGAGGCAGGGTTGGTTCCAAGCAGCAGGAAAACGTTCTTCCCATGCCATAAAAAGCGCGTTACCCGTATGGATACAGTCATGACGTTCCAATGCTTCGTCGACAGCATCTCCTGAATATAAATTCTTCATCCACCACTCCGACAGGTTTGGAACAATGCTGTCGTAATGTCCACTCCTGCGAGCTTCTCGTTTGGCGATTCGTTTTGCCTCAATCTCATCAGCCATGCGTTGCGCTTCATTGTCGTCCATAACACGCTTCTCGTCAGTTTGGGTTTCAGACACCATCTTGGAATCGATGGGATCCCTGTCTTTAGGCTGGTGTAGGTCAATTTTCACTCGTTTCTTGACGGACTTTTTAGCCACAGGGGTTGTTTTCATCTTAGACACGCCCGACTTTTTTGTCATCGCCGAGGATGCTTTCGCGTTGATAGATTTGCCCATGGTGCGCCGGTGTTGAATGGTTGGCTTGGTGATAAATTCGAAAGTTTTCTACGTAAATTCAGTACTAGCGCTATGCGAGGCAGACTGGTTGGTTCTGCCGGAATGCGTGTTGTTTCGTTTCTGAAATAATTTTTTCTATGCAGCTCTGAATTCATCATTTAGATCGTGCGCATGAGGTCCACCCAAATCTCGCCTGGTTTCTTCTCAATTGCAAAGTTGAGCAAGTGGCACCACTGGGGTGGGACAAATCCTGTAGCAAAAGGGATGGAGCAAAAGATCGTGTCGCAGCAGGCAAGCAAGTTGGATGCTACTCCCGCTTTGATATGGCCATTATGCAAGCCGTGTGGCTCCAAACCTTTGAGTTCCCCCATCTTACGCCAGAAGCTAACATGGTCTTCCAGATCCACTTCCAGTGGTTGGTCTTCCAAGCCCTCCGGCCGTCGGCAATGGTCCAGGAATGACACCAGGTAAGGATCCGCTGTCTCGCCTTCATAGAGCCCACGGAGCAGTGCTTGGCTGTTCCTTTTGGCATTGGGGCCATTGAAGTCGGAGTACAAAGGTTTAGTCATGGGTGGAGTTGAGTAGGGGTAGCGGGTCTGGTCATACCGGAGCCAGTTCTCTTGCATGCAGCCTTCTTTGACAAGACGTTTAGACTGGCATGTTACCCAATGGGAGGTACCATCCTGTGCCACCTGGGCCACTTTGATCTGCTGGAGGCCGCCAGAGAAGCCTTTGCCTTGAGCTTTCCGTCGCCGTCGGGTCTCTTCTTTTTGTGCCATCCGCTGGACTCGAGTCCGTCTGGTATGAGCTTTGATGTTGCCCTTCTTTGCTCTCTGGACCGCTGCCGATCGGGTCTCCAGATATTCCAGGCGCCACTGATGGGCACGCTTCCGCTTGACCTCTTTGTAGTCTTGATGTTCAATGTACCACTTTGCCTGCAGGTCAGCTTCTGACAATTTCCATGCATAGCTCAGCCCGGTCTTCTTCAACAAACGCCCGACCTTCCGTGAACTAGTTCTGACCTGTTTATGGCCCAAGATAAGGAGCTGGTAAAGGTGCAGCCTATCCCATTTCTGCTGCATTTGTGGTGACCAGTGAACCTTACCCATCGACACTTTCCGGCAGTTGCGCTCAGCCTTTCGGCGGATCTCTTAGGCCTGGCGATGAATGGTGTTGATGTTGGTGAAATGGGATCTTAATAGATAAAAGAACAGTCGAACATGTCGGACAGTGAAGTCGGACATTGGTGATGTCGAACACGGACAGAAGTACGGTTCGAGTACGTACAGAGATGGATAAGTATTGAAGGTAGATCTACTCTGTGACTAGTTCGTGAAGAACATGTGCGTATGTGCTTTATACGCCGCGACAGCTGGTAAGAGCTGACGCAGACGGCTTCCGGAAGAGATTTTTCGTACCTGCTTGTGGAGATCATTCTTGATCGACTTCTGGCAAGAATAGCAGTAGAACAAGATCGAATAGGAAGTGGTGAGACTGTTCATCCGCAGGTTGAAGCCCAGCATCACTGGCACCTGTTCCTATTGTAGGCAATCCATAGCCGACGTAGATTTGAGCTCAGTATACTCCAGAGGTAGCTAGAGCGTTGAGGCTCTCATTACAGCTATGGAGTTGATTATCTGACAGTCGATCAACAAAAGTAATTTTTGAACATTGCAAAGTAGGAGGGACTACAGAGCAAGATGCCTGGTAGAAGAAACCAAGGCAGAGGCGGTCGAGGTGGCCGTGGAGGAAGATCTGTACAGCAGACTGGTCGAGGGTCTCACGGCAAGAAGGCAAATAGACCGAAGCAATACCATCCTCACAATCCTGACTTCACTCACGAGCAGGTGACTATATACTTGCTTGAGGCCATTGCGCTCAAGAGCTTGGACTACGCTCAAGATATGATCTGGAGTGTAAGAAATATGGCCCATGTGGACTTTGAGGCTTTAAGAGGCACTCAAACGGTCTACAAGCCGGGAAAGAACAACTCCGAGTTCTTCAAAAGTTCAAGACAGGCTCAACTTGATAGGAACTGGGAAAATCTAAATGTCAAGATTGACAAAAGAGAAGTGATCTATACCACAAACCAATATACCGTAGCTGCGATCATCACCAAGCATTTCATCACTCAAGCGATGAGAGATAAGTTAAGCAATGAAACTGATTGGTTGGACTTCAAGAAAGACCATGTGATGCTGTTGAAGCGTATCAAGACGTTCATGACCATCACAGATGAGACTGGCAACACTTTGGACTCATGGAAATCTCTCAAGAGATTCACAAACTGCACTCAGAAGCAAAATGAGTCTGTGAACGATTGCAGAAGGCGGTTCAAAGCTCAAGCTCACCAAGTATTCAAAATCCTTGGCACCGATGTGTTGCATGTCTATGCGACCAAAACAATGGGATACCTGAATCTGTACGATCCGGAGGCCGATCCGGACAATATCAAGGCGCTCCAAGACAAGTTCAAGAAAGAAGTTCTGAGAACATTTAAAGCAAGTGCATTTTTCTACAACTGCGACAGGTCTTGCTTCCAAAGCATGTTGGACAAGGCAAACCAGACCTACGCCATGGAATTCAAGGAATACAAACAAAGAAACGAATATCCGACTACAATTGACCAGGTCGCTAAAGCGCTGATCAAACATAAGCCTGACAATAGAAAGAAGGGTCCGATGACACCGAGACCTACTCCAAGCGTAACCACTGCAAGCAGCAGTGCTCCTGACGGAGTGAGCAACGCACAGGCAAATGCTCGAACGACATCTTCAGGACCGGCCTTCACGTGCTGGTGTTGCGGAGATACTGGCCATGGGGTCACCCGTTGTCCCGAACGCTCCAAACGCCCACAAGCGGAATGGAGCAACCCAGGACGATACAGCGACGTACCCACTACTACTACTACTACTACTACTACTACTACTACTACTACTACTACTACTACTACTACTACTACTACTACTACTACTACTACTACTACTACTACTACTACTACTACTACTACTACTACTACTACTACTACTACTACTACAAGACAAGTGGGGAGAGCCAATCTCCAAGTCCCTGCGACTACATCTGCGGCGCAGTCAGATGCCGCGTCTAGCGTCGCTGGAACGCAATCAACTGGTCAACAACATCGAAGCAATATGCAACGAGCTGTTGTTGACAGGAGTGAAAATAGCACTTCTGGTACTACGGATGTAACCGGTTCTTATGTGGTACGAGGCAGATCTGTCGCTGATGGACGATCTGATGGTAGGATTACAGGATGGAACCTTGCACAAGTACATGTAAGACCGATTCTGAAGAAGAAAGCAGTCTCCACTGAAGACAGGGGAGAGTTGCTAATGAAGAAATGGCAAGCACAACTAGAAGCTGCCAGTACTTCCAAGGACGATGACAGCATGGTCAGCGATGGAAGCTTGAACATGCAGATCTACAAGTCAACCTCAAAGATGGATTCATTGAAGCACTGTTCTCAATGGACCAAAGACAACAAGAAACCTTTCAAGTCTAATGGAAGTATGCACTGGGATATTGATCTTGGTGTACATCTTGATTCTGGATCTACGTTCAGCCTACGAATGAACGAAGATTATGCCAAACCGGGCACTGTGTCTGACCTGGATTACATGTTCAACTACGGTACGAACACTGGCCAACGTGACCTGCATCAACAGGTCGAATCAAGAATTATCAAAGGACACACTTGCTTGCTAGATACTGAAGCGCAATGTAACCTCGATAGTTTATCTGAGCTTGTGAAGCTTGGATTCCGTGTCGTTATGGACACTGATATTGAAAACTCCTTCATCATTACGAAGGGGGAACAAAGAATGAGGTATGTACATTGAAACGGATTGTATACTTTCGTGCCCGATGGTAGGGCAGAGAGTGATGAAGGATCCAAATACTCTGAATGTGAATACAGAGAATGCGAAAATTGTGACTGTGACGCAATTGGTGTTGCACACACTGAATGCCATAAATGTGGTGTTATTTTCTGTGGTAGAATTTTAAAAATTAGCTATTCCGATTCCGATTATTGTGGCATACAGACTGTACGGAAGAAAATCAAAGGCTTCACTGATAAACAAGTTGAGCGGGCTAATCGCGCACAATCAGTGTATCATATGGCTGGTGCACCAGGCGTGCAAGCGTTTTGTATTGCAGTAAGATCTGGTTTGTTCAAGAACTGCAATGTGAATTAAGAAGATGCAATCATTGCCGAAAAGATATATGGACCTGGTTCTTCGGTCCTAAAAGGAAAGACGAAGCGTCCCACACCTGAAGGAGTGCGGGATGACTGGATAGAAATACCAAAGGAGTTATTAATGCACAATCTGAGTGTTGTGCTGCACATTGATCTTGTTTTTGTTAACAATTCATTTGGACTCACGACCATTGATGGGAGTGTGAGATGCCGGTGCTACATACCCTTGGCTTCACGATCCAAAACGGCATTGTATGACGCAATCGATAAATGCTTTCGACTCTATAATGCACGTGATCCAAAAGCGGAACGAAATAATCAGCATTTAAAAGCACTGTTTCGGGTTCACTTTCACCAAATGCCATTCAAGGCGATTCCAAAGAAGTTAACTGTGGCACTTATGGCACGAGTCGCAAAAATATCCAACTACTATCCGGCAAAAGGTGGGTTGTCTGCATACTACAGCCCGCATATGATTATGCATCAACGAATGGTTGATGCCTCTAAAGAATTTGTCTCTGAGATTGGTGCATATGTCCATGGATATGGCCATGACACCACAAATAATATGGCTGCTCGAACGATCGAAGGTGTTTACATGGGGCCCACCGACGATATTCAAGAAGGACACCGTATCTATGATCTGAACACAAAGTGCAAGGCACGACGTGCGAAAATCAAGGTTCTTCCGATGACTGACCAAGTCATCAAGATTATAGAAGAAGACACAAGGTTGGAAGGAGTGACGGAATTGCGCACCTATTCCAAGCATAATGGCAAGCTAATCTTTGATGGTGATTTGCTTGAAGGAGTGGACCCAGATGAACTGTGGGATGAAAACTACGTACCAGTAAACAAAATCGAAAGACTGAGTGATGTAACCCTCCGAAATGAAAATATTCCAGATGACGAACTTGATGAATTACTAATGGATGCTGAAGCAGACATCATGGAAGCGAGGTTCAACAGGGACAGAAACCCAAGATACGATAGCGAGGCAAATCAATATGAAGATGAGCTAGAGGACAAAATGTTCGACAGAATGTTCAAGAAGATTAAGGCTAAACAAGATGCTGAAGATCTGATGGACAAAGACTACCAAGAACACAAATGGATAAATGCCAATGAGGACATGGACTATGAAGACGAATACGAGTCTGAACTAGACAATGAAGAGACCAAGCAAATGTTAGACGAACTGGCAGCTGAGTTAGTGGAACTTAGAAAACCAGACGAAGAAGAGGTTCTGTTCGAATTTGATGACGACACACAAGAAGATGTGGCAGTTGAATCAGAAGAGGAAGATGGTGTCGCTCGCGCAGGAGTGAGATTCGCGGACACAGATGATAATGAGTCCGACACCAAAGGAATTGTGAGAAGCTACAGTGATGACAGTGTTGAAGTTGGAGCGAAACGGGTACTTCGCCCAAGACACAATTGATCCTACTTCTCACAAGGGGTAAAAATGAGACCCACTGAGAGATACAGAAGAGAGAAATCAAGATTTGGACAGGCATACCTGCAAAGAAGGAATCCGCCTGTGCCAAACGTTTTGAGAAACAGGCGTGCAATGAGAAGAAAAGCACGAATGAAAAGGCTCCGAGTCTCGCTGTATCAAGCGATTAAGAAACGAATTGACACGTGAAGAAATGGAGCATAGTTGCAAAGAAACCTTAAGTACGAGCGTTCCATCCGAGAACGCATGCACAATTTGGCATTCCAACAAGTCGGGAACACCAACAAAGGCGAATATGACGCTGACGAAGCGTTGGTAGTCGCTCGTGTTATTCAACAAATGCGTGAGGGTGTCAACGGTGGTATCAATGGGCAAGACGGAGTCTCGTTCATTCAGCAATACTATCTGAATAAAGGACTGAAGATATTCAAGGAGCGAGGTAAAGACGCGGCCATGAAAGAACTTGACCAACTGATCAAGCGCAGTTGCTGGACACCGATCAGTATTGAGAAACTAAGACCGACCGAAAGAAAGAAGGCCATAGATGCAATGATGCTACTGGCCGAAAAGAATGATGGCGTGACAATCACGCTGTGTATTCAAAGGTAATAAGACCCGGGATTGGTTGTCTTGTGAGGACACTGCAAGTCCCACAGCTTTGCATGAAGCTATTATCTGCACGGGTGTAATTGATGCCCACAAAGGTAGAAACGTCATGTCAATGGATATACCTAACGCGTTTATCCAAACATTGATGCCCGAGCAGGAAGAAGGAGAAGATCGAGTAATAATGAAAATTACTGGATTGCTGGTTGACTACATGATTGACCTAGATCCGACGTATCGGGATTTTGTAGTAATCAAAAATGGACGTTGAGTGATCTATGTTGTGATCCTCCGTGCTATTTCTGGGATGTTACAGGCTTCCTTGCTATGGTACCAAAATCTGAGGGCATCGCTGGAAGAATACGGATTTGTATTCAAAGAAAGGCAAGCTGAAGATTCAAATGGACGATTATGTTCAAAGAATGCTCGACAAGTTTTCTGTCAAGTTTAAAGAGGATGACAAACAGGAAAAACCTGCTGGCAATAATTTGCTGGAGGTAGGAAAAGGAAAACTATTGGATAAAGACCAACAGACCAAGTTTCACAGGTTTGTTGCAAAACATTTGTTTTTGACCCAACGCGCGCGTCTGGATATGCATCCGACGGTGGCAATTTTGGCATCATGAGTTCAAAATCCAAATCAGAGTGATTGGCATAAACTCGTGAGACTTATGAGATACATGCACTCTACCAATAAATGGCATCTCACGCTGAGCGCTGACAACCTTCGTGTAATGAAGTGGTATGTTGATGCGTCTTTTGCGGTTCACCCTGACTTCAAGAGTCACACAGGAGGAGTGATGACCATGGGTGGTGGAGCTATTCAGGCTATGTCCAAGAAACAGAAGCTAAACAGCCGCAGCAGTACACATGCGGAACTAATCGGAGTAGATGATGCAATCACACAAGTGTTGTGGACACGCATGTTCATGGAAGAATAGGGTTATCCGATTGAGAAGAATATCTTGTACCAAGACAATATGAGCTCTATTCTCCTCAAAAAGAACGGGAGATCAAGTGCAGGAAAGAGAAGCCGCGCATTGAACATCCGTTATTTCTTTGTCACTGATCAGGTTGAGAAAGGAAATCTCACAATCGAACACATGCCGACCGATGACATGTGGGGGGATTATATGACAAAACCTTTGGAAGGGGAAAAGTTCCGCAAATTTTGGGCATTGATCCAAGGAGATCAGGAAGATTAGATATGCCCGTCTTGGGTTATATATATACCTTACATATTGAATGAAGAAAGGATTTGTTCTCGCAACTGGAGTTGTCGAAACGACAGGAGTGTGTTGGTGAAATGGGATCTTAATAGATAAAAGAACAGTCGAACATGTCGGACAGTGAAGTCGGACATTGGTGATGTGGAAGATGGACAGAAGTACGGTTTGAGTACGTACAGAGATAGATAAGTATTGAAGGTAGATCTAGTTCTGTGACTAGTTGGTGAAGAACATGTGCGTATGTGCTTTATACGCCGCGACAGCTGGTGAGAGCTGACGCAGATGGCTTCTGGAAAAAGAGATTTTTTGTACCTGCTTGTGGAGATCATTGTTGATCAACTTCTGGCAAGAATAGCAGTAGAATAAGATCTAATAGGAAGTGGTGAGACTGTTCATCTGCAGGTTGAAGCTCAGCATCACTGGCACCTGTTCCTATTGTAGGCAATCCATAGCCGACGTAGATTTGAGCTCAGTATACTCCAGAGGTAGCTAGAGCGTTGAGGCTCTCATTACAGCTACGGAGTTGATTATCTGACAGTTGAATTGATCTTGCTGATTCGCTGTAAGGTAACTGTCCTGGACCAAAATATCCTCCGCTAATTGGGTCAAGCGTTGGATAAGGCGAAAATGCCAGTAATATAGCGGTCCACAGACCGGCCATCAGCCAGTGTCAACCGGCGTGGTTGGAAGGAAGGAAAGGTCACCAGTGGGGCCCCCAGAGTCGCTTCCAGGTCAATGTCAATCCAGAGTCCCATGTGGTCCGACTTAAATAGTTTGTCTGAAGATCCAGCATCAGAGGAGCTGTTCTTGTTCGATTGCTGTTGCATAGAAATCCTGTTGCAAGAACGGCTTCAAAGATATCATCCTTGAACTTGTTTTGAGCAGCAGTATCGGTGCTAGCAATAGCAGCATATGCTTTTGTCTTGACTGCAAAATCTTGGAACCAGGCCACGCCATATAGATCTTGCAGGACTTCAGCCTGTCTCAAGAATCGTTCCTTGAAATGCATTCGGTTGTCCCTTGCTTCATAGCAAAGAACTTTTGATTTGCTTCCTAGAAATCCAAGAAATCATATTCAGCATCAGCACTCTTCTTCATGAATCATTCAATACTTTTCAAGAGTTCGATCGGATCTTCAAGAGTAGTCGTGAAATTGGCTTCACCTCGAAGCTTGATATCCATCGCCTTCGTCACAAACTTCAGCATGATGTTTGATTTGACGGTTCTCTTGTTTGTCTTGAACTAGGCTGATCTTTGCATGTTCTTGTCAAGATTTGCAGAATAGAGAATCTTGTTTTGAGCCATCTCTGTTTCTCTTGCAACAGCTTCAGTTTGAGTTGGAGCGTTCAATCTTGGAGCGATCGCATTGAAGTTGATCGACTTTCCATCTTGAATTGATTTCACCATGTCTTCTGAACATTTCATTCCAGAAGCTTGGATGTAGTCAATCACTCTTTCCTCGGCATCTTCGTACGACGATCTTGCCTTTCCATCGTTTTCATCTTTCGTTGAAAATAGATGTTTCACAACTGTTGAACTCGAGTTGCTCTTGACTTTCTGAGGAGTCACACGTCCTCTTCCACCACCGGATGAAGAACGTCCCATTGTCAACGAATCACTCACTCCTTTGTAGATAAGGCAGTGCTGTTCTTGACGTAAATTTGTTTTGTTGCCTTTTGTGATTGAATGTTAGAATAAAGCAAAATGTGCTCTATCGTGAGTGCCTTTAGCGCTCAGAACAAACTCTCTGCAATCTAAATTCGTAATTGATTGTACAACACTTTCACGACAATAGTTCTCCTGTGTCTAGGTATACTTTGTTGGGAATTCACGTGCGCGTGTAAGAACTAATGAAGTACTGTTGGGACTAGCAAAGTACTTGTGGAAAAATCCAGGTTTATATGGATTAAAAGTGGTCTTCAGGCGTGACTATTCCGGACTATATTTCCATGGATTGACAAAAGATGGACGCCCAATCTTGTGGGTCCGAACCAATCGCATGCCTTGGTATCCCGATGTTGATGCGCAATGCAATGCTCTCATTACACTGGCCGATGCAGGCATCAGAGCCATGCCAGAAGGTGTTACCGACTTCATATGCATTTCTGATTCCTCTTACCCTCCCCCGCCGAATCCAACCTTTCTTATCAAGTTGCTGAAGGCATTGGTCAAGGGGTATCCTGATCGTTTAAACGCGCTCTGGTCGGCCCCTGTGTCGTCAGTGATTCAGTTTGTCATGAATCTTCTTCTCCCCCTGATGCCTGGACGACTAGCTTCCAAGGTTGTCTTGCTCAATCTTGATGGCGTCCGTGACAAACTCAAGGACATCTTGATGAATGGGGAAGAAGACATTCCTACGTTTTTTGGCGGGTCTTGCCAGCACGATAAGTTTTATCCCGAAGAGTCCTCTGCCGAAAATCGAGGCAAGGGGAGTCTTAAGTTTGACTACTTTGGAATGGTTGATCGGCTAGTGCAAGCACGCAAAGAGTTTGAAGCAAGCAAGAAATAAGTGTCAGCTTCAAAATACATCAAAGACAAATTTCCTTGTAGTATGCATCCCTTTTATTATGAACTTCATTGATTGCTCTTCCTTTTGAAGATTCTAAATGGGACATACGTACTATTGTATTTCTTTTCTGCAAAGTGGCCCGTCTTCTTTTCTCAGGGCAGCTTTGCTTACTAAGTGACCTTACAACTAAGGTCTAGTTCTGTACCCAACTGAAGGGTAGAGTCCCAATACCTTGGGCCTGTTCTTTGGGCTGTTTCCATCTTCCCCTCTATCATTATCATTTCATTTTGTATCAAAGTGTACTCACAAAGGTGGCCTTACATCCACCATTCTTTTGAGAGGTGGTTCTTGACACATCATGCGATTCAAACTCATCGTGTGTCAGACTTGACGAAACGGCTGTTGGGAAAACATGTGTGCATGTAACAACTAATGAAGTATGATTAGGACTAAAAACATACTTGTGGAAAATCCAAGTTTACGAGTATTTGGAAAGTAAAGTGGTCTTCAGGTGTGACAAATAGATGCATAGGATATACCGGTAGCTTGGTATACTGAGTTTCAGTAACTAGCTGCAGTAGATAGACTGCAAAAGATAGGAGGTCTCGAGATAAGAGACAAGGCTGAGGTCAAGGGTTCAAATCCCTGGAGAATAGGGGCTCAAAGGAGTGAGTAAGCGAACAATTGAATAAGGGCCGACAGCAGCCGGACAGACAGAATGTCCGATCGAATGAATCACATGCACGATCCATCGCTCGAAGGAGTGTGTTGGGAATTCACGTGCGCGTGTAAGAACTAATGAAGTACTGTTGGGACTAGCAAAGTACTTGTGGAAAAATCCAGGTTTATATGGATTAAAAGTGGTCTTCAGGCGTGACAAATAGATAGGATATACTCGTAGCTGGGTCAGAACCAGCTTGTCACTTTTTTGAGGACCAGACCAGCTGTTATAGCCAACAACGGCACAAGATACTGTATATTCAGTCTCTCAAAGAACTTGAATACTTCTGCAAACTTCAACAGTTCCTTCAGCAAACACACAAGTAATTTGATACAAACCTTGAATGTTGGGATATGACAAAATATGAGTTTTTACATTCCTTGAAAATCTATTCAAGTACAAATTTTTGAAACGCACAATGAGACTTTGATTGTGATGTCAGGATTTGATGCAAGACTGCAGAACAAGCAATATCCACATGCAAACCAAATGTCCCTATACAAGTGGAACATTGATGTTGTGTACAATGCAGTAGGGAATATTACCAAATGGCCCAAAACGTTGGGATATGACGAAATATGAGATTTTATGTACTATTCAAGTACAAAGATTTGACACGCACGATTGGACTTTGATCATGATGACAGAATTTGATGCAAGTCTGCCAGACCTAACAAAAAAAGGAATGACCCTATACAAGTGAGATATCGATGTTGTGTACCATCCAGTAGTGTTGGGATATGACAAAATATGAGTTTTTACGTTCCAAAAAGAAACTATTCAAGTACAAAGTTTTTTGACACGTACAATTGAACTTTGATTGTGATGTTGGGATTCGACGCAAGTATGCCGGACGCATGTCTGTTGGACAATCTATATCCACACAAAAAGGGAATGACCCTATACAAGTGAGATATCGATGTTGTGTATAATGCAGTAGGGAATAATACAAGATGTCCCAAAGTACTGCATCCAACACAGAATTGTCGTAGAGGTGGAATCAAGTTCTGTAAACAAGGGATTTTCCAAGGGAAAATGGTTGAACTTACTTTTGTGATTGAATCATCAATTCAAGCCAAACATTAATCAAATAGGAACAATTTCACTCAAAGTATGTTGGCTAAAACAGCCAGTCTGGTCCTCAAAAATGTGACAAGCTGGTTCTGACCCAGCTACCGGTATATCCTATCTATTTGTCACGCCTGAAGACCACTTTTAATCCATATAAACCTGGATTTTTCCACAAGTACTTTGCTAGTCCCAACAGTACTTCATTAGTTCTTACACGCGCACGTGAATTCCCAACACACTCCTTCGAGCGATGGATCGTGCATGTGATTCATTCGATCGGACATTCTGTCTGTCCGGCTGCTGTCGGCCCTTATTCAATTGTTCGCTTACTCACTCCTTTGAGCCCCTATTCTCCAGGGATTTGAACCCTTGACCTCAGCCTTGTCTCTTATCTCGAGACCTCCTATCTTTTGCAGTCTATCTACTGCAGCTAGTTACTGAAACTCAGTATACCAAGCTACCGGTATATCCTATGCATCTATTTGTCACACCTGAAGACCACTTTACTTTCCAAATACTCGTAAACTTGGATTTTCCACAAGTATGTTTTTAGTCCTAATCATACTTCATTAGTTGTTACATGCACACATGTTTTCCCAACAGCCGTTTCGTCAAGTCTGACACACGATGAGTTTGAATCGCATGATGTGTCAAGAACCACCTCTCAAAAGAATGGTGGATGTAAGGCCACCTTTGTGAGTACACTTTGATACAAAATGAAATGATAATGATAGAGGGGAAGATGGAAACAGCCCAAAGAACAGGCCCAAGGTATTGGGACTCTACCCTTCAGTTGGGTACAGAACTAGACCTTAGTTGTAAGGTCACTTAGTAAGCAAAGCTGCCCTGAGAAAAGAAGACGGGCCACTTTGCAGAAAAGAAATACAATAGTACGTATGTCCCATTTAGAATCTTCAAAAGGAAGAGCAATCAATGAAGTTCATAATAAAAGGGATGCATACTACAAGGAAATTTGTCTTTGATGTATTTTGAAGCTGACACTTATTTCTTGCTTGCTTCAAACTCTTTGCGTGCTTGCACTAGCCGATCAACCATTCCAAAGTAGTCAAACTTAAGACTCCCCTTGCCTCGATTTTCGGCAGAGGACTCTTCGGGATAAAACTTATCGTGCTGGCAAGACCCGCCAAAAAACGTAGGAATGTCTTCTTCCCCATTCATCAAGATGTCCTTGAGTTTGTCACGGACGCCATCAAGATTGAGCAAGACAACCTTGGAAGCTAGTCGTCCAGGCATCAGGGGGAGAAGAAGATTCATGACAAACTGAATCACTGACGACACAGGGGCCGACCAGAGCGCGTTTAAACGATCAGGATACCCCTTGACCAATGCCTTCAGCAACTTGATAAGAAAGGTTGGATTCGGCGGGGGAGGGTAAGAGGAATCAGAAATGCATATGAAGTCGGTAACACCTTCTGGCATGGCTCTGATGCCTGCATCGGCCAGTGTAATGAGAGCATTGCATTGCGCATCAACATCGGGATACCAAGGCATGCGATTGGTTCGGACCCACAAGATTGGGCGTCCATCTTTTGTCAATCCATGGAAATATAGTCCGGAATAGTTAAGTGCAGTTGCCAATGCTTTGGCTTTAGCAAGCTTTTGAGGATATTCTACCGCCTCCGGCCAATCTTCTGGTCCGTTTGCAAGTTTCACCATGGCAACCATTTGAGGAGCTCCTTCTTGTGCTCTCCATTCCATGACGTTTGTTAGTTTCTCCATCGAATACTATCATAATTACGAATGGTACAGCGCGTGTTGAAATAGTAGCAAAGCCAAAATAGAATTAGAAACAGCAATGGGCCCATGAAACAACTAAAAAAGGGAGAGAGCCCCTTCTTACCTCCAATGGACGACGTTTTGTTGGGTCTTTCGAATAGGGCTTTGAAGCAACTGATAGTATATATGCGTCGCTGAGATAAGTACAGTCGTCAGGAAACTGCGTCTCTAATTGTTTCCGGATAATTGTAAGTTCTTCTGTAGAGACCTCGAATGTCTTGCCAGTATCAACATCATCTTCTTCCAAAGCATCTTTGAACTCGTCTCCGTTTTCGGCCCCAAGCATGTCTTTGGCCTTCTTAGCATCCTCGGATGACAGATCCGGAGTGGCCTCATCAGAGCCGTAGCCCAACCAATTCATCATTTTTTCTTTCTCCCCCCTTTGGTTACAGTACAACACGTAGCGCCCTTCTTGTTTGACGATGATTCACAACTGGAACTTGGGCGTTCAACTTGGAATTCTTCACCAGAATGCTGCGAGGTGAAAGAAAGAATGATGGATTTATGAATGATGATGAATCGTGGAAGTTGCAGCTGGTACAGTACATTGATTGAACATGTTCTATGTACCTACCGGTACTGCCTACTGTACTGTACACTGTACATGACTGACTGACTGGAACACCCGGCAAATGCGTTAATTGGACCAGGGAGTGTCCGTCATTCGTACGTTAGATAGATTAACCTAGAGATTCGCACACATCTTGTAAAATCCCCATGTTTGTCATCGTACTCGTTTTCGTCCCGAATCTCTCGTACCTCGCTACTCAATTTAACGGTTTATCAGACCCAGGCAATCCACAATGGATAGAGGAGCCTGGGAAGGCTTTCGAATAATATCTGTTTGAGGAAATCGCCTCATTCAGCCATGGTTAGGATCACCATCGTCGTATCGATCTCGTGATTTTTTCATGCCACAATTTCGGCGTTCGGATGCGCACCGAAGGCTAATCACGTCGCAGCGTTAACTAAATTGTTCGCTAGCGAAGGCTAAACGGCAGACGTGCCATGCGTGCAACCATCCGTGCCACGTTTATATACAGCTCTCAATATGAGATGCTTCGACATTTAGGGCTAAATTATTTGAAGTTCCCAGATATCACCAATGTTCGCCTTCTGGCGATTCTCTCCAGTGATTTCTGACTTCAAGTCCGACACTTTTTCGACCTGAAACCAAACAACACATCAAAAACATCAAAATCGTCAATCACAATGGCTGCTATTATCCAATTTCGTAACTGGTGCGAAACCGATCTTCTTATTCGACCTGCCCTCATGCAACACATGACTGACGTTGAAGGTCTTGACTCTGTTGACTCCTTCGCCAACAGAACAACTTCTCAAGTTCGTGAAGACATCAAATCTATGCGAAGAGCTCCAGATCCCACCAATGCAAATGCGACTATCGGAGTCACCGCTCGCGAATCGATGACAATTCATCGTATCTCCAAATATGGAAAGCTCCTCATTTTGGTCCAGAGAACACACACTCCAGCTCTTGGAACCATTCCAAATCTTCTTTTTATTGGCCAATTCTATGATGAAAATCCGGATCTCATGGAAGGGGACTCCTACCCACTTCCTCCTCATCCCCCAAAGTTCAACAATCGCGATGGCCGGATCATGATGGAAAACATTGAAAGTTGGGCTCGTACCGCCTACGGATATCGTGGAATTCGCCTTGATTATATCTTTCGTGAAAATTCTGAACTGCCAGTTGTTGGTGACCCTGGATTCCTACGAGCCGACGACGGTTCTCGCTCCATCAAAGAAGAACTTGTCCGACGTGCTGCCCATACTGGTGCTGTGTTCCGTCGCAACAACCAGAAATTTGGGTTATGCTCCATGCAGTCACACATGAAACCGATGCCTACAATCACGTTTGTCAATTTGCTCCAAGTTTGAATGGTCGTGCTGCTTACTTTGCTCTGTTTGCACAATATCGTGGAAGGGGACATTTCACAAATGAACGCCAAGCTGCTGTCCGTGTCCTTGCAACACTTCACTGGAACGGTAAAGCTCGAGGCTTCACATGGAATACTTTTATCAGTC